ACTGTTTATAAGTTATCCAAAGATATCGTTTCTTAGCATTTCATCGGTTTCTGATTTGGTTCAGAAAAGAAGTTTGCTTCACTTTTATTTCCACTACGTTTCAGGGTACAAACCTCTCCTCAGATTTATGAATATCGAACAAACGCATATGTGCACATGCTGAACGCGAACCGAAATCTTCCATTCAAAACGTTACAGACACATATCTAGAAATTTGTTAACAACATTCCGGGGCTGGGAGTAGGGTCCATGGGGTTTAATGGGCTTTTCTTTTCCTCGCAGAACTTCCTGCAGCAACCGTGAAGCCCTGGCATCGTCTTACCTTGACCTTGTTCTTTTAAGATAGGTGAGTATCATATCTCTCGAGTTTCAGGGTATGTGTAGGTAATATTTTGAATGTTAGAACTTGGCGCAATGTTTAGTATTCATATTTTGAGGTAGGGCCTGAATGGTCGTTGTTAGCAAAGCTAGCAATCTTCCTTCTTGATTAAACTCGAGAACGTCTTCAAGGGGCTCATAAAATGTTTGATTTCACGTAAACTTGTTCCCTAAAATAAAATTGCATGGCAGTTCCTGCTTTTTTAAGTTTTGTCTGATAACCACTTTTTGTTGATAGGGTCAGTCCTAACCCGTCGTCGTGTTTGTGTTTGTGTTTCTGTAACAACTTGTAAAGCAAGGGGAGGTAATCAATAGACCATGACGTAGGGTGAGGACTGGCCTCGGCATTATCCTCACCCTTATCATTGGTCTATTTCAGTGAATTGATGATGCGCTGCCTCCACATCTGGCTACTGTTATTAGCTTTCCGCCTGTTTGGTGTGGTTGTCATCCAGAGTTGGTTTGTGCCGGACGAAATCTATCAGTCGTCTGAAGTTGCTCATCGTGCTGTGTTTGGCACCGGTCACTTGAGCTGGGAGTGGAAATATGGTCTACGCTCTCCGCTTCATCCTGCAATCTTTGCCGTCATATTCAAAGTTCTCAAGAGATTTGGGTTTGATTCTCAAAATGTTATTGCAAACGCACCTCGCATCTTTCACGCCATATTATTTTCCCTGGCTGACATTTCTTTTTTCAAGTTATCACGTCGTTTGTTGCTTACAACTGACGCTTCTTTCTATGCGTTTATCACCTATCTTTCGTCGTGGTTCCTTATATACTGTGCTCCACGCACTCTTTCCAATTCATTGGAAACGTCGCTTACTTTGATTGGACTTTTATGGTATCCTTTTGAAAGTAGACGTCTCAATGGCGTCGTATGGCCGTATATATTCATAGGTGTTGTTACCATTGTAATGCGCCCTACGGCAGCCCTGATCTGGGCAGTTTTTGGTATTTATCATCTTTGGAGGCATCCCAAACCTTTGCGTCTTCTCTTCTATACCGTGTTCCCCACTGCAGTACCTTTACTGCTGTTGTCGGCAATCTTCGACTCGTTGTGTTACGCTCGACCAACCTCGACGTTGTGGAATTTCCTTCTTTTTAATGTGCTACAAGGTGGCAGTGCTAATTTCGGTGTGCATCCGTGGTTCTGGTATCTCACAGAAGGGCTCACATCAGTGCTCACAGTACAGTTGATCCCTGTTGCGCTTGGGCTTTTCAGTCCATTTCGACCAACATTACTGCCCTTTATGGCTTCCGCTTTTTACATTGCCTTCCACTCGTTTCTTCCTCATAAAGAGCAAGAGATTCCTTCTACCTGTAATTCCTCTTCTTTGTCTCTATGCAGGCCCATTTTTCGCATCAAGGCATACTAAATTCAGACGCTTTTTCGTTTTCGTTATGATATTTGTGAACGCCTGCATAGTCCTTTATTGCGGTCTTCGCCACCAAGTGGGTCCTTATAATGCAGCCGATTCTTTGCTGTCAATCGCCCGTAAAGGAGAAAACGTCTCCGTGGCGGCTTTGATGCCGTGCTACTCCGTTCCTGGACAGAGCTATTTCCACGACGAAGTTCGCTCGATTCGCATGTTAGATTGCACTCCTAATGTTGGCAGTGACGAGGGCAGCGGAGAGGCCGATCAGTTCCACAAGGATCCAGAAATGTGGCTCGATCGTCACTGGGAGGAGGTTCGATCGTATTCTCATATCCTTATGTACGAGAAGATGTTCATTCGTCTGGTGTCCACTATGACTCGCCTTCGCTACTCAGTCTGCGATAGAGTTTTTCATGCTGATTTTCTCTGCTCTGATAGGGAGGATCACTATATCATTGTTTTATGTAAAAATTGATTATTTTTCCCGTAACTTCCTTTCTGTTGATTTTTGCTTTCACTTTATGTTCCCTTTTGTTGTTTATGATTTTTCCAAGTGTCGCAGTAATAAATGTTTGAAGAAAAATCATGTAGTTCATCATAGATGGAATGAATGATTTTATGGTACGTCGATCCATGTTTTTTCTTTCAGAAATATAGTTGTAATGGAACAATCGTTGAACATCCTGAATATGGAGAGGTAATGCAGTTGAGTGGCGACCAAAGACAACAGATTAAAGATTTTCTTGTCAATGTAAGTTCCTTTGTTGCGTTGCTTCAGGTTTTCGATTCAACTAAACGTTCAAATTTTAGGTCGGTATTGTGAAGGAGGAGAACTGTAAGGTTCACGGTTTCTGAATGCTCGCTCTTGCTTACTACCAACTTGTCTCCACTTCTCTATTTCTGATTTCGTCACGCTTTCTCACGATGGTGGGGCTTCGTCATCTGTACTCCTTCGCCTGGCGCTAGCTTGAAATGATTATTCAATCGGAATTGGTTCACAGTATTCTGTTTACAGATTGATTGGTGATATCTGTGCTACTTTCACTGATAAAGATTGGTCTTGAAGGATCGCTTGTTTTTTGATTGCCATTGGCTTTGAGCTCAGTACATCGCACTATGTGAGAGCGCACATGCACGACCACAACTGGTCCGGCATAAATACGGCTATTAACAGTACGAGTCTGAATCCGAAGTTTCTAAGAATTGTCCCATTTTCTTTTGAAAGATGTTGGCGCCGCATCGGCAGAGGAGGTCATTTTTTTTCTCAAATTTATAGTCAAATTAAGTTAAGCAACGCTTCAGCAGGGTTTTTACCTTCAACACTAACGGTGTGAAACGATGCGCTAGCCCTAGTCGAGAACATAAAAAGTGTGACTGAACAAAAACCCCACCTTAGAAAGGCGCTAGAAAGGGAGCTGAACAGCTTCGAAGTGGGCGTTGTGGGATTGTTGCTTTAAAAAGTGACAAAAACACGCTTTCGAAGGTTCGGTCTCCCGGTGGTGCACCTTTTGGCATTTGGGTTAGCGCCCACAAATTACACGAGTTGGCCGACCCATCGTCAATGATGGTACTCTCATTCATATGTGAGTAGCAAACAGTGCTCCTACAAGAAGTCATGTTATGCTGAGGTTGGAAGGCGACGAAGATGTCGCACAGAATCACTTCCCTCACACCCTCCTTTTTTCGGATACGCGGAGAAGGTTCCAAAGGAAATTAGACCAGTAGGCGCAGCAGGACGCCGCAGTTTTAGACTGTGGCCACCTTGAACCAAAGCGCTTTCAGACTTCAATTCTTACCCAAAAAAGATAACTGGAACCAAATCGGTCTTTATACTATTGCAAGGTTCCGAAGTGGCCGGTAGCGAGTTTTGATAAGGTCTTTACCCTTGCTTTTTCATCAAGTCGACCGTGCGCCGCTGGAGGTGATGAGGCCGTTAAGTTTGTTCCGCATCTCGGGACATTCTCTTTTTCAAAAATTCACTAATTCTTGGTATTTCGATCCGCAGCTAGTATCTTCAATAAGGCAACAAAGCAGAAAATGTCGACATGGAATTTGATGCGGCACTGTTATAGCAAACAGGTCCCGCATCGAATTTGCGAATTTCCGACAATTACACAAAGCTTCGTCAAAAAGGAGCCGACAGAGGTCTCGAAGAGTGGATTGTTGTATTGCTTCATGGGTTGGAACAGATCCCTGAGGAATTGAATCTTTAAGATTTTGTTTCCAGGGCACCATCGCCTTTCTGAAAATCTCTCCCCTTGATAGGGCTTAACTTTGATTTTCATGTTTTTATCGATAGAGATCAGTGGAAGCTTGCCGGAAACACAGATCGCTCAAAATCATCAGCGTTGAGGGAACTCTGATTCTTGCAAGATTCGATTGTCGAATGTTCTTGGGAGCTGATTGAAATTTGAGCGTAGCATTCTGTAAGGTTAGTATGACGCCCCCAAAAATGAATTTTTATGTGGAAAGTCACATGAACATCCCAGGATGCGAGCGACCGGCCCTCCGAGAGTCCCGAAATTCTTCAACATTTGTCTTCCAGTCGTGCTTTGCCTGAACGGTAAGAATTTGCTCCGAGTCTATTGTAGGAAAGATATCACCAACCTCCATTCTAGTTATCTCCTACATTGTTGCCAAGATTTTCCTAGAAGTCTTCGTAGTTTTTTTTTTTTTCTGTCCGCACTTTTATCCAACGCTTTGGTCATGCTTCTTATGGGCATCGGTATTTGTTTCCGACTAGACGCTGATACCTTACTGTTGGTCTAGCGATTAGGTTCGTACCTATTTTAATACTATTTTTTGAGCACTCAACCTCTATTCCAAGCACGTGCAACTACCTATCATCATTATATGTACCACCACTATCAGTGACTTGTTACCAACATCCAACCAAAGATTGGCAACTTAACTCTCAAAGGGCTGGCAGTTATGAGCTGAAAAAGGCAGTGAGGTCGATTTTGAGGTGCTAATGGGAATCGTATTTTTTGTCGTCAAGAAGGACGGCTGAGCAGAAAGGGCAGATATCTTTCGAAGAGAATGACTACCGCTGCACGTAAGATACGGTAGGACTCTTCATCTAACCCATAAGCTTCGACATCTAGAGTCGCTATGTTTTCGAAACGTGGTCTCTGTTTGTCGTGAAGCGGGCATACTATTTATGAGCTTTCTGTAGCACACGTTACTTAGGAGATCCCGCATCGAGTTCTCTGCCGTTGATCACACTAGACTTGAGTGAATTCATAGCTATAATGATTGACATGTTTCTAGTGGTTACTCGAGAACGCTCCAAAAGAGGTGGAGCACGACCTTGTGGTGAATTTCTTCACTTTTCACCCTCTTCTGTTCGATCCAGTCCCTGGGATTCTAGGTGTGGTTGTCATGAACCTGAGCTTCTCAACTGCAGTAGTGGCTTTGTTCAACCAGGGCGTACGGGTGGAGTAGGAAACAAATTATAGACGGGACTCGTGTCGCACTCCTGTCATCAGTGGTCAATTCATGAGGGAATCTTTGGCAAGGCTTCAACCATTTTACGAAGGAGCGAGAACCTCTACGAATTGTGCATCTGAAACATCAGGATGTGGTGGCCACATAGCAGGTTGCCCCGTGTGGATGGCTTCCACGAGAGAGCGCAGCCTCTCCAAATCCGACACCGATGGCCTTCTGAAAGAGGGTTTTTCTCCGGCTGTAGTCTCCTGAGCAAAGAAGATCCATCCATTCTGATACCTCATGGCTGGCAATGACAAGGAGATGTATCGCAATGCAGATGTTACTTCCGGCTTCAATCGGTTTGTGGCTCAGTAGAGCTTCTTGAGTCAGAGCGTGAAAAACATGGCTCTTTTCTTTTCTCACTTTGAACTCGAAGAAGGCGACTAGGGTGGCATGATTCGGTTATAAGTTACTGCACGTTGTGCCCTCTCCAAAGCCTACGTGAACATAATTAGAATTTGCTGAAGGAGCTTGTGGCATGAGATCCAAAAAATATGCACGAATTTGTGAGAACACGTAATAGTAAGCAACCCAAGTAATCGTATTATTTATTCAAAGCTTATTCAGCTGCTAGACCATGTTGGCTTCCGAAAAGATGATGTACGTTCTATGGGATTGACGGATTACGGTGATTAACCGCTTTATCACCAGTTTTGTAGTAGCCTTTCGTTAATAACATCAGCCAGATCCATTAAAAACCTTCATGATGCTTGAAGGAGGAATTCACGATAAGAACGAAGGTCAAAGAAGGGGAAAATTGCATAGTTGGGAGACAGGCGGACCTCCTGAGGGTGCTGACCGACGCGCAATTGGCAGCGAAAGATTTGACCTCGGCGATCTAGCATGGCTCACTCTTGGCGCGGTTGGCGGGTACGCCCACCGACTATCTAATCACTCGCCGCAGGTCTATACGTGGCGAGTGATTAGATAGCAGAGAGCGTAGATGAACAGCACATAGCGTATTGAGAGGGCACAGCGATGAGAGTAGCATCAATGCGCAATTCAACGGGCAAGGAAAGGGTCCCATTTTTCGGATTCGGACCTTTCAAATGGTTTCTTCTTCATTCCT